GGTCTCCGTACTCTAGGCATCGTAACCGATCGTGAAGGATGTCAAGAACCAAAATCCGCCAACGTTGATTCTTTACTGCGACTGAAATATTCATTTTTAGAGCGTTAGTGAATTAAAAAAAAGCAGTATAAAAACCGGAATGTCCAACTGATAAGGCTGAAAATTTTTTCACTTGTTATTTACAGTAAGATAAATACATTCACCAACTTTTATTAAAATAAAACCGTTTAAACTGGGTGTTCGGATTTATATGTCACTTAGTATAGATAGAAAACAAACCCATCGCGTCCTGGCTGCTGTTGAGGTTTAGTCATAGCAACTGTAATCAGATCGCAGTGTTGCCAAATGGGTACTAGGAACTAATGTTTTGGGCTTATTTGAATGATTTGATTCATACAATTCCCTTGGTACACATATTCCTTATTATCTACTTTTTAGAGCGGTAACTTGTGCCGAAAATAATCCTTAATCTACTGATGGTAGTGTTGCGTGGAAAGTGCAGAGTCAACCTACTAAACACCATTTTTTAACTCTCATGCTGTTTGTGGATCCGTCAGGTTTTTTACGAATATTTCTTGGGACATAATCATTGCTAATGAGTTATGCTACTAAAGTTTGCCAGAAACTTGGTCCGTGCCCCGGCATTGTCGTATTATATACGTACACGAGTTCTTCCAGTATACGATAAAAACGCGATCGTTACAAAGTTTCCCGATCCGTAATAACACTTTACCTGCTACGTAAGTACCCGTATCACGGTATGCTAGGACTTCGTTCTATGGATGCTTGTTCCATTTACGGATATTTATTACGATTAGAGTGGTGCCCTCTTTAAAAGACTTCTATCTATTTTATATCTGTGTATAATTTGGCATAATATCTTATTGTTTGTAAGTCATCAAGCTACCATTATTTGAAAATAAACAAAAGAGTCACCCTCTAACACCTCCTACAAGTTTTTTGGTCTTAACTTCTCCGTCATCCAACAGATTTTAAAAAACTAAAAAGCTTTTCGTCTTTGCCATTACAGTAACCTTGTCTCGAAATTTCATTAAAATTCTAGCCATACTTACAGAGTTATAGAGAATTTCTAGTATTTGATGACTACACTGATAAAATCTTCAAAGTATTTTTGCCTCTGTCACACCCATCGACCTACAGTATATTCAGATAAGAGATAGACCGGACATAAACAAGACCACGTGATCATCGAACGCTGTAACATTCGGCAGGGACGTATTAAGAGTTACGCAGTACATATTTTAGATAGTAGATGCTGCTTTGCGTAACTTTGTAGTAAATTAGCACAATTCGATGTGTATACGATTGGTGATGGATATAGGATCATGTGGGGGTGGGGTAAGAAATATATAATGATGTAAATATACATAAGGGTTTCAAAATTTTCGCTTCGATTTCCAGCTTCGGATGCCGTCTGATGTTTGGTGAAATACAGTCGAATATAATCTCAAAATGGCGTTTAAATTAGCCTAAATTAAAAATAATCGTATATCTCTTAAAATTGCTTTTAGAATATTGATTAGTATATTTTTTGATTTCTAGGTAAATATGTAACCAAATTAAAACGTTCAAAACGTAAAAAAATTTGCATGGTTGAACATTGTCAGAAATTAGATTCTTGAATAGGTTTTGCCAAAATGGGTTCAAAAATGTCAATAATTAATTAAAAAATACAGTAGCTTTATAATTACTTATAACTTACCGAATTTGATGAACGACATCTTTTATTGGAAAGATGAGCTTGATGAGCTTTCATCATCGCTACTGCCTGAAGCACCAACGTCAATAATGAATGGCTCGACTTGTTCCTCTAAAATATTGTCCAGTTCCCACATTCTCTTTTCAACTTTGTCTTTCACGTGCTTAATACAGTTTTCCCATTTTTGCGCTGTTATTAATTCTAGTGCTTCTTTGAAAAGTCCTTTGAGGTCACAAAATTTAAAAGTTGTATTGTGCTTAGCTATATAATTTTTAACCTCTGCCCATATGAGCTCAATGGGATTGAGCTCGCAATGGTATGGAGGTAAACGGAGCACACTTTTATTTTGACTTGCTGCCATTTCTTCAATGGAGTATTTTTGATATTTCGCCTTGTGATCCTTGACAATTCTTAATAATTGTACTTTCAGCATTGCTTCTTCAAAGTTGATATTTTTCGAGCGGAGCCAATTTTGAACATCAACTTTCCTTGAAGCCGTTGTTGGGGCCTTCTCCATTCTTCGAGAATGATAAGGCGCATTATCCAACACAATTACTGCGTTTTCCTCTAAGTTCGGTAAAATTTTTGAAAACCACTGTTCAAACGATTCGCCATTCATTTCCTCGTGGTAATCTCCAGTTTTCTTAGACTCAAAGCACCACAGACCGTCAACAACAAATCCATCCTCACTGCCAATATGGCAGATAATGAGCCTTTTCCCTTTACCTGGAAATCGAAGTATTAACTGGTATAGATTTATTTCAATAAGCGAACCTTTTTCAAATGTTTTCATCACATTCAGCGAAAAAACATTGAGACATGAGTATCAGATTGCTATAATTGGGATTATTTAGTCATATTGAAAGAAAGAATATTGAACGTCGTATGATTACTCAGCGCTTCACAATTTAATTTAAAGTTATAAACCTTTAAAAAATGAATGATCAGGAACCTGAAATACGCGCAAATATTAATATTAACAAATTATAACTTTATAAAGCTTAAAGTATGAATTAAAATGATTAGAAATATTAGGAACGGTACACAATATAAAACTTAGTAACTTTTTTAAGTTTATAATATTCGACATATTTTAAGATTATATTAAAAAATTATTGAAATATCGAAAACACATAAAAACATGGCTTAAAAAAGTTCTAACAAATGAAAATGACAATAAAACATCCACGCATTTTATCGAAAGTTATAAAAGTTTTGTTACTTGTAATATGTTTTATCTGCCCCCTGGAATTAATGTTTAGAACCTTGTTCCCAAGGTTTGAAAAACATCCGATTGTTGTCTATTACTCGTATTAACCTGCTGGATTTTTTAATCCGGTGGACAGTCCATCTAGAAAGGCCCTCCTGGATGAAGTTACAGAATCATAAACCCATACTTTACTTGTAGTGTGTCCTGCGTTTACCCACGTTTCATCAAGGTAATAAATCTTCCTGTTTTGATTTCTATATTTCCCAATTTTTGTTAAATAATCCCTCCTCCATAGCACAATTTCTTCTCTATCCAGTAGTAAACTATTACGACCCCGTTTTTTCCATTTGAAATTTAAATGCTTCAGTAACGCATGGAAAGTTGATCGTTTGAAATTTGGCAACGTTGTATCTCCATTTACATCCTGCAGTACTTTATCTATAGTAGGTATTTCATTCCTAAAGAAGAATTCATGCACTTTCCTCCTAATCGCATGCTTATCAGCTTCATCCAATGATTTAACAATACTTTTGTGATGTTTACTGGTCATTGGCTCAGAAAAGGTGTGATTTTTTTTGTATTGTCTTAACACATTAAACACTGATGCGCGACACACCCCAACTTTGTGAGAAACCTTCACAACAACTTCTTTGATGGTTGATGCCTCGTTCTCCTCGCGCTCGATCTTATATATATTCAAAATGACCTCTTTCATTTCTGCACTCAGGTGTCTTTTTTTAGAGCGTTTCCTAGGTGGACTACAGGAGTTTACAACTTCATCGGCAGTATCTGTACTACTGGGCATTTTGCGCAAGCAGTTGATAACAATAACAATCAATAACAAGGTATAACAATAACAACGACAAACTCAATAACTTAATAAGATAACAAACGAAAACGTCCAAAGAAATATCAAATTGCAATGATGCACACGACATACGTAACACGTCTGAACCTGAATGTGACTCTGCCTTGATACGACTGCTCTGCCGCTCGGCATAGGCATTTAATTGCGAATTGACCAATGAGGGCTCCTGTTTTACGTCGAGACGGCGGCGTTAGCGTGAAAATCACCCGAACCTTTTGTTTACATCCGGTCTATCTCTTATCTGAATATACTGTAAGTTACTTGGCTTTTCATGATATATCGATCATGAAACATGAAGTAATGGGTTTTCCAATAGCGACTTGACAACTTTGAACTTCCAGTGTGAACGCACCTTTAAATCAATTACCGAACTGTCAATGTCAAAACATTCCGTAAAGAAGACATGTTCATCATATAAATAACTCTATGGTGTGGTTTTCATAGCGGTGGTGTCATTGGACCGTTTTTTTTTCTTTCGTTGATGAAAATTACCGTCATGTTGCCGTCAACGGAGATCGCTACAGAGACATGTTGCACCGTTATTTTTTTGTTCAATTGGATGGGCTAAGCATTAATGATATGTGGTTTCAATAGGACGGTGCGACAAGCCACACAGCGAGTGAAACAATCGACATATTGAAATCAAAATTCGGTGAACGTGCTTTATCGAGAAATGGTCCTGTCGAATGGCCGCCTAGATCGTATGATTTAACACCTGTAGACTTTTTTGTGGGGCTACGTTAAATCATTGCTCTGTGACAACAAGCCGGCGTCGTTAGAGGAGCTCAGAGTCAATATTGAATGAGAGATAGGACTGTTGATGACGAAATGCGTGGCCGAGTCATTGAAAATTGGGTTCAACAAATCGATCGCTGCGAACGTGCCCGTGGTGGACATATGAACGAGGTCGAATTCCATACATAAATGTTTTGAGTATACCTCAATCCAATAATAAAATTTTCGAGATTTCTCAATTGGCTTGCGTTTTATTTAAAAAGAAAGTTGTCAAGTCCTTAATGGAAAACCCTATACTTTCTCTCCACAAAAAATAATTCTGGGGCCCCTTATTATAAGGCCTGTTGAGTAGATAATTGTGAGTTCGCTAAGAGTTGAAAGTTGCTCTCCTCAAACCATTTCTTGTTGTCAAGACGGATTGCATTGGAGAGCATTTTAGTGTAACAATTTGCATGTTTATGTTCCAGGTTAAGGCTAATGGATATTCTGGTGCAGCCGATGCAGAGGCTTACCAAGTATGGCTTATTACTGAAAGCCATTTTGAAGAATACCGATGAGGATATAGAAAGAGAAAATTTACATACCATGGTAAGAATTACGTCTATAGCTATACTCCTCAACTGAAATCTTATACGAACGATGAAAAAGTCGCACTTTTAGCAACTACTGCGGTATGCAACCTCAGTTTAACATATTTTGTGCACTGTTATTGATGAGGAAGGGAAGCGATTTGAGTCGTGCATAAATATCAATCAACAATGTTCAACATCGAAGTCAGAAAGAGATAGCCGTATCTCAAGCTTTGTTGGGTTACATCGTCATGCACCTAAAGCGCTTCCTTCCCTTCAATGAGCATGTACCTCTAGTGTCCCTGTTATACGAACCCCGCGTCGTGCTTTTCGTGAAGGCAAATCATGTTATCATCCACTGTCACTGCAAGTGAAGTAGTCATAGGTCATTCCCTTTTTTTCCGGCTGCTTTATTTCTATAGAAACATGTTATTGCAAAGTTGATTCTAAATTGTGGAAAGCCGCGGGACTGTAAGCGCGTTCAGATATAATTAAGTTAATAAGGTAATCGACACCCGAGACATACAAAGGCAATGTAGGATTGGCACGTACCTGGATGTTCCTGTCGCCTGGTCTGGATGAGCTCCTCTCTCTTCACAGCTTCTGCTTAGGTTCACCACACTTGCCTTAGCGAATATACAGGGTGTTTCATTTTATTGTTGCATAACTTTAAGATTCGATAGAACTTTTAAAATTAACGCATAAAGTCTATATAAACATGGGTCGAAAAATGCGTGGCTTCCGAACTACAGGGTGTTTAAATTTACTTTCTAAAATAGTTTTTTTTTTTAAATATTTCGAACAATATTTGATGTATAACAGTGAAAATTGGTATACAAGGGTTTTTTGGTACGACAAAACGAACCATGGGCACAGTTTTACTGTAGCCGCTAGAGGGCGCTCTCTACTATACCTGTAGTGTATTAAAATGACCGAAAAATTTTTCTTAGTGCAATTTTTTGCTTTTTGAATAAAAATACTGATTCTTCGCACTTCTCTGCATAAAAAAGCTCTCCTGTGAGTTTTCGTTATAGTTAGCCGTTTTTGGGATATTTCGATTTTTATGGTTCGATGCATTTTTAATTATTTATGGGAAAATAATATTTTTTTTTACATTTTCGATTTGGGCATTACAAGTAATTAAGATGATCGTTTAGATTGTGTTTTTAAACACAGCAATAATTCCTAACTCCAAATAAACACAAAAAAACATAATATTAATTTGTTTAGTTTTCCAATATTATTTTTAACAAATTAAATGAATATTGGATGCTATTGGATAGTTAGGACAAACATACAAAATCTAAAGTGGTTGCTCGAAATGTAAACCCAATTGTTCAATACACAATTCACATCTACGAATTTTCAAACGTGGTATAGCATTATTCAAATAAGGCCTTATTTCATCACATGCATTCCTGATTCTGTCTATTAGCATATCTCTTGTGGTTACGGGAGTCTGGTACACTTTTTCTTTTAGAAATCCCCACACAAAGAAATGGATTTAGGTCAGGGGATCGTGGAGGCCAGGCGACTGGTCCTCCACGGCCGATCCATCTTTCTGGATAATTTTCGTCCAGCCAGTTTCTAACTATTCTCGAATAATGAGCTGGACAACCATCAAGCTGGAACCAGGCCAATCTGCTTAAATCCAACATAACATCATCCCACATATTTGCATGTTCAGCCTTTAAAAATTCCAAAAAGGTCGCAGCATTTAACCTTGCACGCAAATGTAGGGTCCAAATATTCGATTACGGTAGATACCAATCCACACGTTCACACTAAATTCGTGCTTAAAATTTCTTTCCCGAACTGCATGCGGATTTTCATGCGACCAAATATGTTGATTATGAAAATTTACCACTCCACGTCTAGTGAAGCATGACTCATCGGTCCATAAAACGTTACTTAAAAACTCCCTATTATTATCAGTTCTATCAAGAATCCACTGACAAAATGTGATTCTTCGTTCTCCGTCCCCTGGCTGTAGTCCTTGCACACATTCCTAAGGCACCAGAAACTCTCGTAACACTTGTGGTCGGATCTCTATCAAACTCACGCAGAATCATACGGGTAAATCTGCGCTGACGAACATTTATGTTTTGATCCCTTTGGAGATTTCCAAAACCATTTTCAATTATTTGGCGATGCACTCTTACAAATACTGAGCGAGTTGGATGTCGTCTGTTTGGAAATTTTCGTGCGTATTCTCTGGCTGCTTCTGCTGCGTTTCCATTTACAAAGCCATACACAGAATGAATATCCGCTAACTCTTGATTGGAGAATAAAAATGGCATTTTTATAAAACTTACAAAAAAACAGGTAAAAGAAACTACATTTCGTGCATTCACAATTGCAAAAAAAACGTTTCAGGTTTCAACAGACAACAAAACTAACTGTCAACTAATTGAGGTTTAACCTTATTCTGCTTTCAATTTCAAAAATATTTGCAGGCACAGCCTACTTCTAAAAATTATCGAGATACTGACTTTTTAACGTTATTTTATCATAAATAATTAAAAATGCATCGAACCTTAAAAGTCGAAATATCTCAAAAACGGCTAACTATAACGAAAATTCACAAGAGAGATTTTTTATGTTGAAAAGTGCGAAGAATCAGTTTTTTATTCAAAAAGCAAAAAATTGCACTAAGAAAAATTTTTCGGTCATTTTAATACACTACAGGTCCAGTAGAGAGCGCCCTCTAGCGGCTACAGTAAAACTATGCCAATGGTTCGTTTTGTCGTACCAAAAAACCCTTGTATACCAATTTTCACTGTTATACATCAAATATTGTTCGAAATATTTAAAAAAAACTATTTTAAAAAGTAAATTTAAACACTCTGTATTTCGGAAGCCACGCATTTTTCGACCCATGTTTATATAGACTTTATGCATTAATTTTAAAAGTTCTATCGGATCTTAAAGTTATGCAACAATAAACTGAAACACCCTGTATTGTACCCGGTTTAACTAGGATTCTTTTGTCGAGGTTTTGAAGACGACCGTTGCCTTTCCTGATCTTTACGATATGGACTTCACGAAATCTTCTTCTCCTTGCGCGAATGTTTTACTGGTATGCGCACGAGCCAAAGGATTTGAATTTGTATGGCTTTTGAGTTCAAAATAATAAAGTATGTTTTAGAACTTGCACGAACACATATTACAGTTTCTTTTTATTGTCGACTAAACATAAACCGACAAAGTAAATCGTTACAACGTTTTTCTTATTTAGGATAATAATTTAATCCATCTCGGAGGTCATTTTTCATAATTTCTGCCGACTTGGTGCTATTTCCGGTGCTCTGGTGTAGGAATTCCGCGGCCCACTGCCCGATTCTGTGAAAATTTCACACGCTGAGTTGCGGTTTATAGGGTGGTGGGTTTTTTTATTAGAAGTCTGCCACTCTTGGTTTTTTTTTTGTCGGAGCCTTTTTCTCACACTAACTGCACTGAACCATCGAGGCGAATTTGAGCGGGACACACTTTGTTCGAGGGTTTTACCATCCGGTGCATCTGGAACTTCTTGCCCTCGGTTGCCTTCCGGTGATAGCCTGCCAAGGTGTTTTTTTTGTTCTGGAAACCTCTTAGCTGGGGGGGGGGGTAGTACCAAATAATTTTCTTTTGATTGTCCTCCAGGACTCCTTGTAATTTTTTTGTTCACTAAATGTCTGTGTACCTTGTGAGTTTGTGTCACCCTAGCTTCAGAGACCCAACCTGGATACTCGTTATTTCATTTCCTAGTTTTTGAAACTAGGTGGCGCCCAAACAAACATTGCATCCAAAAACCAAAGTACGAAGAACGTCATTCTAGGGGGGCTCATATCTACCAAGTGAGCACAGTTTTCAAGGTTTAACAAACTTCCACACTGTTTTCAGACGAAGAAATTCAAAGTTTATGTCGATGCATGCCTGAATAGTTTTTGGTTGTGACTGCATTAAAGTTAGCAGGATGAAGGGATTATGAACGGGGAGATTAAGTATGCGACAATGACGTCAAGCCATAGCATCATAGTATTCGTTATACAGACTCTGTATCTATAACAACCGCGCTAACAACGCGTTATGTATTGTGTAAAAATGCGCCGCACTATGTCATAATAATTCATATAAAATATGAGTCTAAATAGTCTAATCGTATTAGGAAATTTCCCCGAAGTAATTGTAAAGTCTGGTTTTATTGATGCAAGTTGTTCAAGGGGGTATTTAAAACATAGACGCGTAACATGGGTACACCAATTTTTGTGGCAAGTAGTTTTTTAAGAATTTCTAATTGTTTATCCCAAAACACCTGTTTTCCGGTCATTACTACTAGTTTATTGAGCAAAGGTTACGTTTTTTTCTTCTAAACAAATTCAAACATTTCGTTTTTGTGAGTAATTGAACAAATGCGCTACGGTATTCGAAAAGAATACGTTGCTATACTATTTTAAAACAAAGCGGATGTGTATCATCTGTTGTTGCAAATTACTAACAAGTACGAAATGTTAGAATTTGTTTAGAAAAAAAAACGTAGACCCATACTTTTTCGTATAAAAATAACATTGATCTTCCGGAACCATGGGTAATTTTGTCTAACATGATTAGACTAAAAGAATATGATATGCTATTATGGGTATTTCTTAAATCGTATCGAAAATCCCTTCGCAATTTTTTTGAGCGGTACGCTCATGCAGATCGCAGATAAAGACGACGCGGGATGAGATGATTTTTCTCTTATACTATAAGACGATTTACCTTACAGATAAAAATGGTAGACGAATTCGTGAACAACGTGAATTCAAGCCTGAAACATCGACAGGACAAGGAGAGGCTGAAAGGGATAATAGCCCGGATCGAAAGTTACGATATAGTGGTGAGTGTTTCCAACAGCTGACTTAGTGAACTTGAAATCATTATTAAACAGTTTTTCATTCAAATGACGAAGTGAAAACAGGTTACAGCTGATTTTCAAGAAGATTACTATAGAACGATATGTGGTCAGTAATCAAGATATCAACGAACGAGACATCGCCTTACCAAAGTGGAAGTTGGATTGGATTTCTAATTGAATTAACTACTTACGCCCTTAATCCGTTCCTCTTCTACTGGATCTAGCCAGTGTAGAGGTTGATATCTGTCTATACTTCTTCAGTTTTCATTGGATTAACTAATAACAAGAAATCTAGGGAACGTGTGATCAAACGCACTCAATTGTTACGAATTTTGTTGCTACTTTCTTCTTTATTGTAATATCCGATTAGATACTCAATCTTTGACTGTAAGCAATTATTGATTCTTGTTCTCTTACCTAATGTCAGTGTTTACTTCATCCAAATAGACGACCGTATGATCATTTTCTCTTTGTAGATCCTTTAGGCGTAAAGTACCACAGCAAGTGACTATAACCGGCCGCGTGGTTGTGGTTAGATCTCGCCTTGAAAATTCGAGGTCTTCTAGACATTTTGTACTACAATGTGTAGGTTGGCTCTAGCTGGTGACCTCGTGTCATTTTTTTCTCTCTCCAGCTTCGTCTCCTCAGGTTACACCCGTATTTGGATGTATGGGCATGTGCTTTCATTTCGGGCCTGATGAAGCCAACAAGCAGGAATACGTATTGCTCGGGTTACCTATCCTATTTACTGCAAGAATCCACTTTCCTTCTTTTTGTGGATTTTGCCCATTATTTTTTTATTATATATACCTATATATATATAACTTGAAACGTGGTCATTGTCGTCTAAACCAGTTAGGTGAAAAATTAAAGCTTCCGCCTTTTGTTGGGTACTTCGACAAAATTTAAGCAAAGAGGACACTTTATACTTTTTTAATTCTCTCTAGCTTTCAATGGACTTTGCCATCATCATCAGGAGCTGCAATTACAATGATAACAGTAGCAACAAAAGTGTAAAATGAATTTAAATTGAATCAACTTACAGTAGTATGTGAGGATGTTGCTAATTGTTGTTTTCGTATAGGTATATATATATATATATATATATATATATATATATATATATATATATCTTTCAACACAGACATTGACAACCTTCGGCCTTCTGTCAAAGGTTCATCTCACTCATTATTCCATGACCACCATTTTGTGCAATCATCAAGGGGCTTCACGACGTAATGCTTTAATGTTTTCTAAATAATTTTCAATCTGTCTTTAACTTGTCTTGTCATATTTTATATAATTTTAACCATTGTACCATGTATCCAGCTCTCACCATGTTACTAGACGTTTCCCTCATCCTATACGAAAACAATAATTAGCAACATCCTCACATACTACTGTAAGTTGATTCAATTTAAATTCATTTTACACTTTTGTTGCTACTGTTATCATTATAATTGCAGCTCCTGATGATGATGGCAAAGTCCATTGAAAGCTAGAGAGAATTAAAAAAGTATAAAGAGTCCTCTTTGCTTAAATTTTGTCGAAGTACCCAACAAAAGGCGGAAGCTTTACTTTTATGTATATATATATATATATATATATATATATATATACAGGGTGGCGCATCGAAGACGAAACAGACGCATTTACTGGCAGCTCAGATTTTTTGGAAAAACGCTCAGACCCGTCGATTTTGTTTTCGAGGGGGACACAAGTTTGGCAAAAGATCACGTTATCACGTGCAGCCTCCTAAGCGGGGGTGACACTACCCCCAAAATCTTAAATGGAAAGGGGGGTCGAGTGATACCTTATTTTAAAGGTCTTTCAATTCCCTTTATAATGATATAAAATTAATGTACTTCAGTTCAGTAGTTTTGAAGATTTATTGATTTAAAGCTAAAATAAAACTAATACACTTATACGGATGAAAACTATGGGCCTTTAGAATCCGTTGGACAGTACGTCGACTAACACCACACACAATCTCCAATTTGCGGGTACTAAACATAGGATCTACATAAACTTGCCCTAAAACCTCCACTTCTACTGCTTCGTTCCTTATGGGATTTTCAATATTGCGTTTTTTATTGGCGACTGACCCAGTTTCCCGAAATTTAGCTACAAGTTTTAGAACATATTTTCGATGCACGTTACTGTTCTCATGTCACTCATTAAATATTTCTGCTGTTCTATTAGCGCACTGATTATTTCCGAAAAATATTTCGATAATTTCAACTCTTTCTGCTGTGGAATATACCATGGTTAGTTTATGTAGTAAAGCGTTACAAGTTATTTTAGTAACAAAGTTTGGCAAATCAATCGCAAACTATGTACTAAATTCCTATTTAAAATAAGTACGAGATATTTCCTTATCTTTCTTCAAGAAATAACTTTTTTGCCACAAAAAAACGCTCCAATAGCTATTTTCAACAACAAAATGATAAACTAAACCATTGGCGTAGTGAAGAAAAGCATTTACTTATTAAATAAATTCTTTTAGTCAAATTTCTTCTGAAAGTTGTACAAACTAATCTGATGTACCTATTTAAGTCTACTTTAAGCTTTAAATCAATAGATCTTCAAAACTACTGAACTGAAGCTCATGTATTTTACATCATTATAAAGGGAATTGAAAGACCTTTAAAATAAGGTATCGCTCGAACTCCCTTTCCATTTAAGATTTTAGGGTTGGTGTCACCCCGCCCAGGGGGCTGCACGTGTTAACGTGATTTTTTGCCAAACTTGTGTCTCCCTCGAAAACTAAATCGACGGTTCTGAGCGTTTTACCACAAAAAACTGAGCTGCCAGTAAATGCGTCTGATTCGTTTTCGATGTACCACCCTGTATATATATATATATATATACGAGGGCGGTTCAATAAGTACCCGTGTTAGAAATGAAGACACCTATCTAATCTACTATAATACGAAAAGGAAAGAATTACATGCCCAGACTAATTAAAACTTGACATTCACATATTTGGAAAGAGCTCATAAACTTCATCCTAGTGATCCACGTTTGTTATTTGAGCAGAGGATTCCGTAGGAGCTGGTGATACTAATATGGTTCATTTTTGTGTATAAAGCTGGAGATCGTATGGCCTATTAAATTGAAATTAACTATTTAAGAAATTAGTGTTAGCTTTAGATAAACGCCATGTTATCAATTTACGTCATCTAGGATCTAGACTAATAAAAACATTCTTCCTAGTCTGTATTAAGTTATAAAGGTTGGCGATTGGGGAAATTTTCACTGAGGAAGTCTCTCAAATTTCCATATACATGATTACTACACAGGCGAAACATCAGAGGTAGAATAAATAGCAACATTGTCTCGGTTGTATCCGTCCCAATGGTAAGGCTGGCTGCCTCTTTTGGGGTATTTTTCGCTGTCAGAAATCAAATCGATTGAATAGGCTAGAAATGCGTAACAAGTTTCAAAAAAAATAAACGAAAGTGTTTTATCGAAAATAAATACAGGTCAAGGTCAATTTACAAACTCGTTCTATGCAAAAACAACCCCCTGCGTCACTGAGTCACACACCATTCCTTTTCCTATTCGTACCGTAGTCGATTCGATAACATGAGCTGAGTACGCGTACCTAGTTTCAGAAAAATATAACAGGTGGTTAAAAAGTTATGAGGCCATTAAAAATGGTCAATATACAGGGTGTCCGCAAAGTTGGGGTTTTCCTTTACACGACGTGTAGATCTTGAAAACATAAGCAATTTTTCTTAGTACCATATACACCAATGTCTTAAGGGAACCGAGATAAAGGGCTCTGCAACATCAAAAATATCTGAATACCGTCCTGTAGCCGCGACATCACCGAGTGGTACACGGTCACTGGCTCAACCCGACGACAGAACTGGGTCGGGGTCAGTGTGTCAGGTCAGTATGCAACCTTCAACCGACGGTTACGGTCACGCGTGTAGAGGTAATCGCGTAGACGACAATCCCTCAAAAAGCACTAGCGACGTGGCTAGAGAAGTGCAAGGATCAAAAACTAAAGTGTGGCAAACGCTGCGTGAAGAGGGGCTGTATCCGTTTCACGTCCAACGTGTACAAGCCCTTCAACCTGATGATTTTCCAGCAAGAGTGCGGTTTTGTGAGTGGTTGTTGCATCAACATGACAATAATCCGGACTTTTTGAAGTGCATATTGGTGACAGACGAATCTACGTTCACGCGTAATGGGGTGAATAACTTTCGCAACACTCATGTTTGGTCAGTAGAAAATCCGCACGCTGTCCGTCGGGCACATTTTCAACAAACATTTTCGGTGAATGTTTGGGCTGGCATGGTGAACGGTATGCTCATTGGACCATTTATTCTCACAAATCGATTGAACGGGATGCAATACCTAGACTTTTTACGCAACATTTTGCCTTCCTTGTTAGAAGATGTGCCATTAAGTGTAAGACAATCAATGTGGTTTCTGCGTCTGCTCGGTAGCGCATCAGCTGATTTCATTTTCTGTTGGAGCGATATGATTTCGGGCAGATACGTACTTACCCCTACTCGTCAACTGGAGAGTGAGTACTTTTTCCTTTATTTTTTTTTACTTGGTCGCCCTCGTTTCACTACACATTACCTTTGTTATTTCAAGGGTAGTTGTTTCTGAAAAGGAAAACCCCAACTTTGCGGACACCCTGTATATAGAATCTTGGTTATGAGATTATAAGTTCCTTAAGTGAATCACCACAGTGACGTCTATCCTCCGTTAAAACAACTCCCTCTTCCAGTGAAACACTCTGTGTATCGCGATTTTGAATTGTACATTTCCAGATGGTTTTAAAAACATATCACGCACTTTCACGAGTTCAAATTAATACAATGAACGCACGCGGCTAAAATACAACAACCCTCGATCGACGAGCACAAACAGCTTTCCGGGCTTCGCCCCATTCATTGCCACTAATCACTGGTTCATTATTGTCTATTTCGTCGCGAAACAACGTTCTTGTTATTCAAAGCAGGCTGAAAGGCTATGTTTGCCGCTGTTTACATCCTATCCTTTTTGCCCCTTGGCCTTGTTTACACTACACACGCCGAAAATAAAGCACCGCCGTATATTAATACGGAATTAATTCTATGCCTGTTTGCGATTTTTTGCCGCTACAGATTGCCGTCTACTTACTCTCTTTAGGGTTAATGATGATGTTGTTATAAGCTTGTGGTTAAGTGAGATGAGGGCTTTTCATTAGCCTCTCCCTACCATTTATTTATTAAGTATTATTCAGAGGGTATCTCTTCGTGTAAGGAATTCTAAAGTAAGAAAAGGTGCTAGAAAAAAATATTAATAAAACCCTGAAGCCACCACCGCAATTTTTTTATTCCATTTAACAATCATCAGAATGAATGAAGAGGTGTTAAAAGTTACTCGAAGCGGGACGAGCCTAAAACATGAGTTAGCATCAGTAACGTCACTCCAGTCGATGAAAAAATATTTGATTAGCTAATTGCGCCTAATAGTCCAGGACTATTAGACTTTCTCTGCCGAAAAAATCCCACCTGGCTGAACTTTTTACCAGAGCTTCTTTTCAGCATTATAAATCATCCCTTAAAAGACCCCATGAATCCAAGTGGAGCTGTTTTTTATGGGGGGCGGGTCAAATGTCACAAAAACACTTTTTTCCATATATATTCGAAAATATCAATTCTGCGATAAAATAAGTCATTACCTTTTTTGTTCAGTATGAAATTCTCCACAAAAAAGGTTCTATGCGTTTTTTTCGTAGACATCGTTTTTCCAAGGAAATTTTACTTTCAATGTTGAACATCGTGAATATTGTAAAATAACGTACTTTTTTTCCACGTCACCACAGAGGTAAAGTACACACGACATAAATGTGCTTGAGCTGCACTCGATGTTGGTGGCAGCATTGAAAGCTTAACAGCTTTATCATACCTTGTCGATTTCGCGAAGCACTTATATCGATGATGGTCAAGAGATTCTTCGCGCGGTGGAGCACCATAAATCGCTAATAATGATTTGATACCATTTGTGAAAATAGTATCTGGAGAGCATCCTTCCTCATTGAATACTTTTGCTGAATCTCTGATGTCAGCTCTCTTTTGAAAAATTTTAGTGGCCTTTGCCTTGCCTTTATTGAAGAGAGCAGATGTGTAACATCCAGTCAAAGCATGCAAAAATAAAATTTGTGGTCTAACGGTGATGTGAGCATCGAAACTTTTTGGAGAATATATAATTGTGTCGATGTTTGATTTTCCAAGCTTCATAAAATAAATGTCTTTATTCTCAGGACAAGAGCTGTCAATAAGACCGATAAACCTACATCATTCCCAACAATTATACTTCGATTTTCATTCGTCAATTTAATTGCAGTATTGATAATGAGTAGATCAACATCATCCTCTGCTTACAGACAATATTGTTATAAATCGCTGTTTGTTGTTGACATTGACGAGAAATTTCTCTTGAGTTGTTGTAGTAGTAGTAGTAGAAAGATTTATTTAGCACATTTGGCTACATAAATAGAACAATTGTAAACAACTTAGAACTAGTAAATTCAAGCCATATGGTGTATGATGTAAATGCTGGGCAACCTATAATTGTAGATTTAACAAGTGATTTCTCAATTTTACTTTAAATTTTGTCAAAGTTTTCTGGTCTTTTATCTCCGAGTATAATTTATCAACCCTTGATGGAATACAGATTTGTAGCATATGTTATACTTTTTAGTCATTAAATGGAAGTCATCTTTATTTCTGGTATTATGTAAATGATGGTCGACATTTGATGATGTTAAATTAGTTAAACTTGATGGAAATATATTATTTTTTACTTTATAAATGAATATCATTACAAGATATTTGATAAAATTTTTTACATTGAGCCATTTTAATTTACTAAGCATTTGCCTAATTGGAGTATATTTATCTTTATTTAGTATTATTCTCATGCACTTATTTTGTAAAATTTACAGTCTTTCAAAAATGGAATTATTTGCTAAATATAGAATAGTCGAACAGTACAAGAAATTTGGAAGAATGATGGTATTATAGATAATTTTTCTGCTATATGAACTCAGACATCCAGAAACTCTCGATAAATATCCCACTTTACCACTAATCTTATTTATAACTTTTTCATAATGAATATCAAAAATTAATCGAGAGTCAACAAAAACTCCCAGGTATTTAAAATTTTCTACGAATTCAATATCTTCACCATCAATATTCAGTTGAACATTTGTACATTGTTTTTTTTTCGATTAACAAGGCTTTCGTTTTACTTGCATTTAATTTTAGTCTGTTAGATGCTAACCATTTTGAGACAAGCTTCAAGTCTTCATTTATATAAGAGATACCAGACTGAATATTTTTAGTACTTATATAAATCATAGTGTCATCGGCGAAAATTTGAATTTTGCATTTTTTGACTATGGCAGGTAAATCATTTATGTATAAAATAAAAAGAAGTGGTCCCAGGATACTGCCCTGTGGAACACCCAACGTATTTTCAATTTTTGATGAAATAGTGTCATTAACTTTTGTAACTTGCATCCTTTTAGACAAATAATTTCTAAACCAATCTAAAACACTTCCTGTTATACCATATGCCTTCAATTTACCTAACAAAATATCTCTATCAATCGTTTCAAATGCCCTCTTCAAATCCAAAAATGCTGCTATGACAACTTCTTCTGAGTCTATGGCTCTTCTCCAATTCTCAGTTACCAACTGGAAAGCTGTTTCTGTGGAATATTTTTTTCGAAAGCCTGCTTGCGCCTCCACTAAAATTTTGTTTTCTTCTATAAACTGCATTAATTGGTCATGCACTATGGACTCTAATAATTTTTCAATGTCTGGTAACACATTTACTGGTCTCATATCGCTGCATCTTTTAGAATTTTTTATTTTGGGAACTGGTGTTATTGTAGAGCATTTCAAATTTTCAGGGAAAAAACTGCTTCTCAGTGAACAATTGATCCAATTTAATACAGGATATCCCAAAATTTCGAAACAGTTTTTCAGCACGTTTTTAGTAGTCATTTGGGCACAGTTGTTATTTGATTTTAAACTGTTTACTTTTTTTCTTAGATAATTCAATGATACGTTGTGAAATTTTGAAAGTGTATGCAACATTTCCCCCTGGAAACTGATTTTCATATAGTCAGGTGCAGCATTGGTAGTACCTACAATATCAACAATACTTTCCACAAAATATTCATTTAGTTTGTTTGCAATCACCAAAGAATTTGTTTCGGTACCGTTTTCGAATTGAACTTGATTTACACAATCATGCGGCTTCGAATTGATCAGTCTTTTTAAAGTCTTCCACATCTTTACACTGTCGCACTTGTTATTATCGATTTGTTTATCGTAGAATTTTCTTTTTTCTTCTCTAATTACATATACACATTTATTCCTAAGTGTTTTATATACCTCCCAATCATCATTTGATTTTGTGAATATACATTTATTGTATTGTTTGTCTCTCAAATTTTGAGCTGCCTTAATATTCTTGTTATACCAGGGTGTATTTTTTGTGGAGCAAATCACTTTTTTATCAGTTGCAAGATCTAAACAAGTTTTTATATATCCTATTATGTTGTCATATATTTTTTCCATATTCTCACCAAAATTCCAATAGCAGCCAGCAAGTTCTCGTTCAAGTTTTTCGTACATAATAGTATTTACGATTTTCTTAATTTTTGTATCAGAAAAATGCCCTACCAAGGGCAGCATTGTCCAACTGTGATCGCTAACTTTAGGTGTATGTACAGCTTTAATCCCTGCACATTCGAAATTTACAATAACAAGATCTAACAAAGTCTCTGATACTGATGGATCAAACATAATTTCTGTGGATGTACCGCTTTTTGCTGATCGTCGTTGTTGTTCCATTGCTTTCGTGTTATTACGTTGATTGTTATAACCGTCGAAAACAACCGTAACGTTCCAACCAAAATGATTTCGTAAATAATTAACATAACAATCAAAAATAGCATCATAATATGTAACATCTCGATTCTCGCATTCTTCACCGAGGAGGGCTAGCGGTCGAGGTGCTGGCTTCAGGTTTTAATACTGCGCTCGACGCCTGACAGCGATTTGTCGCAAATGATGCAATTTTCGGCCATTTTTCAATTTATACAGGGTGACAGGTAAATAGGTATAAAACATTTTAGGAGGTGATAGTACAGCTCCTTTGCTATCAAAATTAGTATATAATATCATACCCTATATTCAAAGGCTAAAAAGTTATGGAAGATTTATTTTTTTTTTAAAAACAACCCAGATTACAGAGTAAAATAGTTGAGATAAAAAAAAGTTGGTGATTAAACATTATTTTTTTGGTGGTTTCAGGTTATTATTTAAATAAATAATTCTCATAAATTAAAAAACATATGAAAACACTACTGAAAACGTATTTATTTTCATTTAAATGTTAAATGAAAATTTTTATTTTCAACTTCCACATTAAGAAGTATTTTTTTTTCAAAAAAATCACAATAAAGAAAATGTACAAATAACTGCAAAAACTTCCTCGTTTCATTAGGTTTATAAAATGGTATAATAACATATCAGTATGTAAACCATTTAACAAAACAATATTACTTTGCTAGAAAGGACGGCTAAGCGCATTTCATTGTACTGAGCAGGTAAACCGAGCCTTCCATGGTTCGACCCTTTTTGGGCCGTTAAGTTAGGTTAGTAGAATATCAACCTTTAACGCGGTAGGACGTACTTTTACTTTTTTGATTAGTTTTAATAATGGCGAGTTACCGTAACGAAGAATACGCTGATATTCTGTTTTGTTATGGTTTAAGTGATGGAAATTCCGTTGAAACCAGGCGAGAATACGCAAACCGTTTTCCGAATCGGCGAATACCGAGTCATCTAGTATTTGCTTCTGTGTACCAGCGCGTCAAGGAAAGTGGACAGGTTCATGAGAGACGTCATGATGCTGATAGACCTCGGTTGTTTGACGACGAAGATCGAGAGGCAATACTGGAATGCTACGGCAGAGACCCGACGACGTCTACACGAGTTATAGCAAAGCAGCTTGGTTTAACTCAGTGGAAAGTTTGGTTCGTTTTGCATTCGGCGAGACTTTACCCTTTCCATTACACACCGGTTCAAGTATTAGAAGAAGGAGATCCCGCAAGAAGAATTGATTTTTGTCGATAAATGCTTCATCGGGATCAAGAAGAAAACGACTATTTAACTAAAATATTGTGGACCGACGAGTCTAAGTTTGACAGAGAGGGGACAACAAATTATCACAACTTACATTATTGGGCCCCACGAGAGGCAAATCCCCACATGGCAAAGCCAAGAGCTCATCAAAGAAGATTTTCGACAAACGTGTGGATGGGAATCATTCATACGTATCTAATTGGACCAGTTTTTTTGCCTGACAACCTGAATGGCGAATCCTATGAAAACTTTTTGAGATCCGAACTCTGGGAGTATCTCGAAGACCTGCCTCTGAATATCAGGATGCAGATGATCTACCAACACGATGGCTGTCCCGCGCATTTCCGTCTGGGTGTTAGACAGTGGCTGGACGAGAAATATCCTTGTCGCTGGATTGGCCGAGGTGGACCGACACCGTGGCCGCGAGGAGCCCAGATTTCACACCCTGTGACTATTATTTATGGGGGCACATGAAGTCACTGGTGTACGCTGAGCCCATAGACACTCTTGCACAGTTGAAAGAAAGAATTATTGCTGCGGCTGACACTACCAGAGGACAACTAACTGGCCGCATCACGCGTACCAACATGAGAAAAAGACTACGGGCTTGCATAAGAAACGGCGGGCGTCAGTTCCAACAACAATTGCAATGAACTTCCTTTCATTATTGTATTTTACTTACCAATTGTAGTAACTTTTAGTCAGTTTTTATTATTCTGTAGTACAATTACAACTGTGTAAATAATCTAATCGTGTAACTTAACGGTAGTTTAAAATAATAACTATCCCATAGCTTACAGTTACATTATTTTCACAAAAACACTTTCTTATCAATCAGAGAGTTGTGAAAATAGGAGACAAGCCATTGGTAAATTTACTCCCTATTGTTGTATTACAATACATTATGTTTAGTTTTACACAGTTTTTGTGCACTTATCATACCAATTTAGATTTAGATTATGAAACAAGGATATTATTTAAATTGTTTGTACATTTTTTTTTATACTTATTTTTTTGTAAAACACCTTACTTACTGTAAAACGTTATTTGTTTTTCTTAGTTAAACATTTTTGAATGAAAATAAATACGTTGTTTGGTATTGTTTTCGAATCTTTTTTAATTTATAATAGTTAATTATTGAAATAATAACCCAAAACCACAAAAAACAAATGTTTAATCGCCAACTTTTTTCTCTCTCGACTTTTTTACTCTGAAATATGGATTGTTTTTAAAAAAATCTTAAATCTTCAATAACTTTTCAACCTTTGAATATACGGTATGGTATTATATACTAATTTCGATAGCAAATGGGCTGTACTATCACCTCCTAAAATGTTTTACACCTATTTACCTGTCACCCTGTATGTGAATAATATCACGTAAAAACTGCCTGAAATTATCCGACGCGTCTGTATACAACTGAGAATGGCAGAATACTAGACTGAAGACTGGTCAAATGACGTCAATGCCCCACAGTCAGGTATACAGTGGCGTACATTCTAAAAGGGCCAGCTGTGCTAGGTCACAAGAGGGGACACTTATAAAGCCCCTGCCATAAACGTTCAAAAACAAAACGATTTCAAAATCCGGTTTGAAATTTTTGATTTTTGTCAATTACAACACTTTCACGCAATTTTCTGTAAATTGGCAGTCTCTACGAAAAAAATGCATGAAAACTTTTTTCATACTGAACAAAAAAGGTAATATTTCATTTTATCGTAAAGTTGATATTTTCGAAGATAAATGGAAAATAGTGTCTTTGTGACCTTTGAGCTCCCATAAAAAAAAGCTCCACTTGGGTTCATGGGGACTTTTGAGGAATGATTTATAATGTTGAAAAGAAAAAATTCAGCCAGGTGGGATTTTTTCAGCAGATTGGCTTTCTTTTCGTCCTGGATTATAACACATTTTTTAATAGTTTCAGCGAAAGTTGCATTAAAAAAAAACAAATCATCCACTGTTCTGTTCGCACGATAGCAAAGAATTCTAAACCAGATTGATTGTATCGACATTATCGTTTCTAACAACCCTTCGCCAATATAAACCAGCAATCTAAGTCGGCATATTCCATCCTAGTAGGTTTTTTGTTATTCAAATTAGGCTGAAAGTCCTCTCTTTGCATCCTCTCTTTTTGCCCCTTGATCTTGTTTACACTACACACTTCTAAAATAAAGCACCGCCGTATATTAATACGGAATTAATTCTCTGCCTGAGATTTTTTGCCGCTACAGATTGCTGTATACTTACTCTCGTTAGGTCTCATAATGATGTTGTTACAAGCTTGTGGTTAAGTACTTAACTTCATTAGCCTCACCCTACCATTTATTTAGTAAGAGTTATTCAGAGGATATCTCTTCGTGTTAATTAAGAAAAGATGCTAGAAAAAATATTAATAAAACCTTAAAGATTATCAAACAAGAACCACTGCAGTGTCTTCATTAGGTTTAAACAATGATCTTAATAAATGAAGAGTTTTCCGAAGCGGAACGAACCTTTAAACATGAGTCAGCATCAGTAACGTCACTTCTGTCTATGACAAGATATTTGAGGTTCGGGTCAACTAAAGCAGCGTTGATTAACGTCAAAAATCAAAATCTTGCACTGTTTTGTTCTGACTGTAGCAAATAATTCTGAACCATATTGATGGCATCGACATTGAGCCGTATTCATAAAACAAAGGATATCCTTGTACTTGCAAATTTTGAAGGAAATCCTCCGAATGGTATTTATAATAATTTGACGTAAATACTTTTGCTTTTTAAGTATGGTATATCTGAAGTCACTTGAAATAGCATAAAAACATTTGGTCGGCGCGTCCTTTGTAATTTCATTACGTATCATAGGCGTGCGGAAATTTATTTAGAACGATAATAATAATGTTTTTATATCACAATAAATGGATTTTACTATCTTCTTATTTTTTTGATTTGGGATAAAAAATACTTATATTGGGAGTTTAATTTATGTTGACTGAAAGTTAAGAAATGGAAAAATTACAGAATTCCAACGTTTGATATAGGCAAATATTTACATAGCAGGTAGGTATATAAAAAGGTATATAAAGACTTACATTATAGGTATTTATATATCATCCTCGCCTTCGGAGCTGTCGCTAGAGTCATCTTGTAGAGGAATTACAACGGGATTTACAGGAGGCAAAACGCAATATTAATTTTCTTTTTCAATAATATGCCTAGAACACTGCTTCCATAGGTCTGTGGCAGCAATATGAGATACTGCATCTCTTATTGTGGCCAATAGCGATTCACTTAATTGAGGGGTCTGATTATGTTTTCTTACTTTTTTTTTTAAAGCAGCCCAGACCAACTCAATCGGGTTAAAAATGCAGTAATAGGGAGGTAGACGTAATACTTCATGGCCATTTTGCTGAAGCAGATTGTCAACAACATACTCTTTTTTAAATTTTCGTCTTTTAATAAGATCCAATAATATGGCTTTGGTTGATTTTTGTGGTATTTCCATTCCCTTATCCTTCATAAAATCAATAATGTCTTGTTTTTTTGTGCCTGTATTCGGAATTTTGTTTTTCTGTCGGGAATGGTATGGCGCATTGTCCATAATAATCACTGAATTTTGGGGAAATGTTTGGTATTAACTGCTGCTCTATCCACTTTTCAAATAAGTCGGAGGTCATGTCCTCATGATAGTCGGCACATGATTCTTTGATATTTTTGGCAGATAACAGCAAGGCATTAGGTATAAATCCATTTTCACTGCCAGCATGGAGAATAATGATTCGTTTTCCACGGTTGCAAGGTGCATTTAAAATGCACTTGTTGCTGTCGTCAACCAAGCCGTACTGCACAACATCATGGGTATCATACCACGTTTCATCCAGGTAAATCAGATTTCTTTTCTGCTCTCTATAGATTTTAACTTTGTGCAAAAATTCTTGGCGCAATTCAACGATTCGAGACGACTCCATAATCACCATTCTTTTATCTAATTTTTTGTATTGAAAACCACACAGTTTTACAATACAGTGCAGTGAGTCTAAGCATTGTAATTATATAAATCTTCAGGATAATCTTTTAATTTATCCCGTATCATTTCCAACGTGGGCACCAAATTTTCTTTATAAAATCCGTATATTATACGACGAATATCTTCCTGAACACCCACGTCTATTCTTTTTAATTTTTGCCCTATGCGCTTTCTGTGGAAGGAATGGTTGACTACATCTCCCCTTTTTATAACCCGATAAATGGTAGACCGACTGATTTTTGTCAGGATACAAATTCTGTTTAAAATTTGATTTTGCGAGGAATCTGGATTTTCGTTTTCCAGACAATCATACATATTTAGGATTACTCTTTGGGTCTGTTCCTCTAAATCTTTATGAAAGAATTCTGTCTGAACAGGTTCACCAACCATCTCCTTGTGGCTTGGAGCATTTTCCCAAGGTCTCCAAAGAGCCATATTTAGGACACACAAGAACAATCATCACAACAATTAAATCAACAAGTAAACTGAGTATTAAAAAGTCAAAAACACACAAACTATTAAAATCTATGAAAAAACACGGACAGACTAAAGAAAACACGTTTATTCACCGCTGCACGGCACTGGCTAAACTGTTTCGATTTTCAGTAGCCACCTGCACTCGTTCGGAGCTTTGAAATACACGCTTTCTCATTGGCTATGTCCACGCATAGGCGTGCTTTACTCCACGTGGACCGGTGAAACTGCCTTTGATCTTATACGGGGGATATTTGCTGCGAAATTTGGCGATTTTTGCAGCAACAGAGCGTGTTAAATATAGATATATAAAACGCACCCGGTATTTCACAGTATTTCAAGTGACTTCAGATAAAGTATACATGCATATCCTTCAAAGCAGTGACATAAGTAAAAGGATATTCATAATCGTCACCTTTTATGTTACCTGGCATAGGAAGCATATCCTCAAAAAATTCTGAGTGTGGTCAGTAGCAGACTCAAACTTCGTAACGAAAGGAGGTCAAACGATGATGGCGGAAATTGTGGATGTTAGGAATGTTAAAACATACAAACCTCGTTTACCTTCGCTTGGTCGTGACTTAAAAAAATTATATCGGTTCGACGAAGCAAATGTACAATGGCTTGCGGACAGATTTTTTGTTGAGAATGAGGAAACTCGAGGAGGGGCACTTTCATGTATTCATAAAATGAAGATATGTCTACGCTATCTCGGTGACTCTGGATATCAACAAGTTATTGGTCAGGAGCTTGGTGTTAGTCAAGCAACGGTATCTCGGACTGTGGATAGAGTTGTGAACAGCATAGTTGCACAGTCGAACGAATGGATCAAGTTTCCAACTACCAACCATGAATTGATGGAGGCCAAGCGGATATGGCAAAGCATGTATAAATTTCCGACAGCAATTGGTGTAATTGATTGTACACATATAGAAATCCTGAAACCAAATCGCCATGGAGATGAGTATATCAACCGAAAAGGGAAACCTACTTTAAATGTGCAAGCCACTTGTGATGCCAGATAGATGTTCACAAGTGTTGATGTCAGTTGGCCTAGATCAGTGCATGATTCCAGAATATGGAGAAATTTACAGACTAGATCACAACTAATAAATAAAGCAAATGTTGTACTAGTTGGCGATGACGGTTATGGTATTGAGCCATGCCTTATGACTCCCTTTAGAAATCCTACTCCAGGTGCAGAAATAAATTATAATAAGCTTTTAAAACAAGAAAGAGTTATAATTGAACCCTGTTTCGGCCAACGCCGGTTTCCTGTCCTACAGTATGTTTGCCGCATAAAGTAAATGAAATCGCGAACGAAGTGCATTGTAAACATTTTTCGTGATGTTCCTTTCATCAGGACATAAAACATGCCGCTGGTTCGTACTACACATTGTATTTCGTTTCATTTTTGAAATAGTAGATATGTGCAATGCCTGCACTAACCAAGCTTTCGTATCCCGGATCCCTACTTAACTCCTTAACAGTATGTGCTCCGCACCTGACTACCCTAGCTGGAACCTGAATGCAATAAAATTGCGGCGTATCTTTTGAGTATAGCGCGACGCCGACTACGACGTTGTCAAGTCTATGCTCACTTTCTGCTTTATCGGATTCTTAACTTTTTCAGACCGAGGCGGAATCCGCCGCAAAATTTTTGACAGACGTAAATAATATACTGAAAAGTCAACCTCACCTTCCAGGTACTCTAAATAGGTCATTGCCATCATAGTTTTTGAACATTCAGAATTTGGAGAAAATCTAACACATGAATCAGATTTTCACATATATTATGACATCCATATTGAAACTTTTTTTGCTGCTGCACCTACTTGGTGTATATATATTTAATTATTGTCGGTTAAATTGAAGCATTCACGTTTAAAATACGTATTTCCAGCAAGTTGGTTCGCAAAAATTCAGTTCTGGGAATCAATGTAATTGATTTCGGGAATCACATTTTACGAATAGCGGTGGAGCTTCAGACCTGATCGAAAACATAGTAGCCGCAGCTAATACAGGGTGTCCGCAAAGTTGGGGTTTTCCTTTACACGACGTGTAGATCTTGAAAACATAAGCAATTTTTCTTAGTACCATATACAGCAATGTCTTAAGGGAACCGAGATAAAGGGCTCTGCAACATCAAAAATATCAGAATTTGGAGAAAATCTAACACATGAATCAGATTTTCACATATATTATGACATCCATATTCAAACTTTTTTTGCTGCTGCACCTACTTGGTGTATATATATTTAATTATTGTCGGTTAAATTGAAGCATTCACGTTTAGAATACGTATGTCCAGCAAGTTGGTTCGCAAAAATTCAGTTCTGGGAACCAATGGATTTGATTTCCGGAATCACAATTTACGAATAGCGGTGGAGCTTCAGACCTGATCAAAAACATAGTAGCCGCAGCTAATACAGGGGGTCCGCAAAGTTGGGGTTTTCCTTTACACGACGTGTAGATCTTGAAAACATAAGCAATTTTTCTTAGTACCATATACACCAATGTCTTAAGGGAACTGAGATAAAGGGCTCTGCAACATCAAAAATATCTGAATACCGTCCTGTAGCCGCGACCCCCGAGTGGTACAAGGTCACTGGCTCAACCCGACGACAGAACTGGGTCGGGGTCAGTGTGTCAGGTCAGTATGCAACCTTCAACCGACGGTTACGGTCACGCGTGTAGAGGTAATCGCGTAGACGAGAATCCCTCAACAAGCACTAGAGACGTGGCTAGAGAAGTGCAAGTATCAAAAACTAAAGTGTAGCAAACGCTGCATGAAGAGGGGCTGTATCCGTTTCACGTCCAACGTGTACACGCCCTTCAACCTGACGATTTTCTAGCAAGAGTGCTGTTTTGTGAGTGGTTGTTGCATCAACATGACAATAATCCGGACTTTTTGAAGTGCATATTGGTGACAGACGAATCTACGTTCACGCGTAATGGGGTGAATAACTTTCGCAACACTCATGTTTGGTCAGTAGAAAATCCGCACGCTGTACGTCGGGCACATTTTCAACAAACATTTTCGGTGAATGTTTGGGCTGGCATGGTGAACGGTATGCTCTTTGGACCATTTATTCTCCCAAATCGATTGGACGGGATGCAATACCTAGACTTTTTACGCTACGTTTTGCCTTCCTTGTTAGAAGATGTGCCATTAAGTGTAAGACAATCAATGTGGTTTCTGCACGATGGTGCACCGCCCCATTTTAGACGCGAAGTGCGTGAGTTTTTGAATGAATTATTTCCGAATAGGTGGATCGGACGTAATGGACCCGTAGCGTGGCCTCCTTGATCTCCAGACTTAACACCATGTGATTGTTTTCTTTGGGGAGAAATGAAACGCTTAGTGTACAAAACTGAAGTGCATACGGTTGACGAACTTCGTCTCAGAATTGAACAAGCTGGTGCTTTCATTCGGGGGAGGGACTCCATTCTCAAAGCCTGCACCGATGCTTGGCTACGTCGTGCACGCACCTGTGTTTTTGAATCAAACGGCGAACAATACCTATAAAGTACGTTTACCTAAAAACTGAAAACGCGGCAACGCCGTCATATTTGTTACCTCTGTTCGTGGTCTGCACCACCGCCAGCGTCTGCTCGGTAGCGCATCAGCTGATTTCATTTTCTGTTGGAGCGGTATGATTTCGGGCAGAGACGTACTTAGTCCTTCTCGTCAACTGGCGAGTGAGTATGTTTTCCTTTATTTCTTTTTACTTGGTCGCCCTCGTTTCACTACACATTACCTTTGTTATTTCAAGGGTAGTTGTTTCTGAAAAGGAAAACCCCAACTTTGCGGACACCCTGTATATTTTTGATCACGAAGCATAATAAACTGTTATCAAGGGAATATCTGAATATAATTCGATTTGGCAACATCGTATCATTCATTTGCTTGGACTGCTCCATGTTGTCAAATCCAATGTTTTTCAGTCAAGTCTAAGAGAAATCCCTCGTAAAGTGGATAGGCATGGTATAAGCCAGTAGACAGACCTGTTAAAAATTGAGGTTTTCCGAGGGGATGGAAATATTAGCATCGACTGAGTATCATAAAGCCTAGTTTATTCAATGATACGTAGATCGCAAAGCCTGCCTTCTGGCTACGGATCTTCTTACCGTAGGATTTGACTTTGACTACTTGAGATTGAAGATTTTGATTATATATCTTATTTTAAATAGGAGATCAGAAGAAAATTGTTCAACATTTCAATGTTCATGCAAAAATTCAATATGTAGACTTTCAGTGGATTTCTTCGATGAGCGCGTGGCAACATCGCTTGCAGTTCTCTACTGCCTTCTAATTTGGATCCCAACTATAGTAGGTACGGATAATTTTTGGGCGATAAAAGTATATGAATGATTCTGTCAAGTTGATGGATTCAATTACTTCTGTGATGAGAAGTAGCAGGAGTTTATTTTTTTTTACTGTGGACATCCTTTAAAATCAAAAAGCAAAAGGAAATATTGCATCTTCCTTATTTTGACTGCTATATTGTCTTGTCATTAATGTTTAATAGTAACTGAATTTCAAAATACTGGATTTATCAAGAAGCTGTGTGTCCTTTACGCAATTGCCATGTAGTCTAAACGGCTTCACATGTTGCGTGCCCAAAATGCATTCATGTTGTTAGTGTATTGTTATATGAGTAGCTGTTATTTGTGAAATATCAATTAACAATTTGTGTTTTTCTCTTTCAGGAGTCGAAGGATGACGATATAGAGAAGATTTTAAAGAAAGATAGAACCCTCACGTCACTTGATCTCACTAGACCCATGCTCAACTGTCCAGTGGAAAGGAAGAGGCATCTTTTGCTTGAGGGGGATTTGAAGTTGAAAGACAGTAGCACTTCGTCGAAGGTAAGTTATAAAATTAAACATAAAATTGTTTGTATTATTGAGGGGTCAGTTCTAGCTTCAACGTTGCTGCTTTGCATTAATGATACCTTTTCCAGTGGGGTAGTTTTCAACTAAATAACAAGCCTGTTTTAACCTTTTACTCCCTACTGACAAGGAATTATTATAATCGCTAAATTGAGATATGTTTTTTGATGTATTACATGTATAATAATGAAAAACTTATTTCCGGTGTGTCTGTTTATCTATCGGTTTGTCCGTTAGTCCAATAACCCCATATAACTTGAGACGTATCTCTCGGATTTTGATGAAATTTTCTCACAATGTAACTACTTTGCCAAGGATGCAAAAGCTTTTTAGTTTTTGAAAATCGGTTTAGAGGCAGCAGAGCTAGGGGCCAAAACACGAAAAAATAAAAATCGCTCGAACGTCGTTTTTGACATTTCAGAGGCTCCTGATAATCATCAGAAACATTTTTGTAGAAGTTTAAACTTAGTGGTTGGGGATTGTAGGGGGTTGTAAATATTGTATATTGGTTGTAACTGTTTTTACACGTACGAGCCCCTTCCCACTTCAGTTGGCCCAACTATTGAAATCTTAGTTTTTTCTTTTCAAACACAAATAATAAAAATGTGTCATAGGTTTAAAATATTAACAATGAATATTTTGATGATAATATATAGTATAAAACACCAACTTTATCACTCCCTAATCAATTTTGCAGCATAAAAATAACACATGTTGCAATTACAGCATATCAACCTATTTTCATTTCAATGCAAAATAAGTCTATAACGCATAGGTGGCTGTGAAAAATGAAAGCCATGACAATTGTTTTTATTAATCACAGCTGTCAGAATATGTTTAAAATAGTTTTGGGTAGTTAAGGTTTTCAAAATGAGTAGAGGAAAGGTTATTAGTGAGAAAATTCGGTTACTGATGATTAATTTTTTTTAATTCTGGGTAATCAAACTCAGAATATGCAACTTTGTTACACTTATCGCGGTACAGTGTGAGAAATATTATTAGAAGATATAACGTAACTGGTTCAGTTAATATTAAGCCACGATATGTGAAAAAAAAGTAATATCACAAATGCCAACCGAAGAGCATTAAGAAGAATAATCGTGAAAAACAGGCGTGCCAATTATTTACAATTAAGTGCTGTGTGGAGTGACGCTGTTGGAAGGAGAATTTCGTTGTCCACAACATAACAAAACAAGGTAAGTTTTCTTATAAAAAAAGTGAAGTAAAAACCCTAAAGTAGCACAACTTATTCATAGGCCAAAGAAAAGCCACTATTAGCTCCACTGCAAAAAAACATCGGCTTAGATGGGCTAAAGAACATAGACAATGGACACCTCAACAATGGTGTGCAATACAATGGAGTGATGAGGCCCGATTCGAAGTTTATGTTGGTGACAGTCGCAGTAGAGTTATTCGCAAAAAAAATGAAGCATTCCATGTTGACTGTCTGAAGAGAAAAGTGAAATTTTCAGCATCCATTATGGTCTGGGGCCGTATTTCATCAAAAGGAGTAGGAAAACTTCATTTTATTGATGGAAATGTGGATACAAACAAATATTTGGCAATTTTAGAAGAATCGCTTTTACCAGTGATGGAAGAATGTTTGACATCCGGCCAAGATTTTGTGTTTCAGCAAGATGGTGCAGCGTGCCATACCTCAAAAAAGGCTATCAAATGGATGGAAGAAAATAATGTACTACTTTTGAAATGAGTTACTGGCAGTCCAGATCTGTCACCTATTGAAACTTTGTGGCACGAGATAATATCCTGCTCGTACAATCACCGAACTGAGACAAAAGCTTCAAGAAATATGGGATTGTTTTACACCAAATTTTTGCCAAAACTTGGTTAGCACTATGCCCCAAAGAATTTCAGCCGTAATAAAAAATAAAGGTGATATTACGCAACGGTAATCTTTCAATTTTTGCTTTGTTAACTTCGCGCATTTATTCGCACATTGTTTATTTGATCAGATGTTCTATTAGTTATAGGTCTAAGTGATTTCAAATACGTATTTTTTACGACTAGAGTGTATCTAAAATGTTTTTGAGGAAATAAATTGTCTTAGAAGTAAATAGTTTCGTCATGTTTAGTTTATAAAGGCATATTTTGGTACAAATCTTGAAGTGGGCCAACTGAATCTTATGATCTTTAAATGTACTACCCATTTTGCCAAACCTTTAATTTGTGTTATTCCGTCTATGATGGTTGTCGGAATATTTCGTCAAGTAGATTAACTCAGTACTTATGACGCATTGATATACAACAGGCTGACTGACAAAGCGACATATACGAGAAACATGATGGAAATATCTTTAAGCAACAGAAAACTTGTGAACTGAAGTTCGAATATTATCGCAAGCTCTATCGTTTAGGTAGTCGTAAATTTTGAAAATTGATTCATAGGCGGCGGAACTACGGACAAAAAAAATAAAATCGCTGGAATATAGTTTAACAAAGTTTCAGAGATGCGTGCTCAGTTTCAAACATCGTTTGGTGTCAGTGGAAGACCTTCTATTATTAAGAAGCTGCAGATCTCTATGCATCTGTTAGACATAATAAGTGACACATATTTTCCCTACATCTGCCATTGGATCAGAAATATGATAGTTTTACGAAAAATACGTAGGAAGTATATAGTCAATTGACAGAGATAAATTACTTACAAAATTTGATCTCTACGGATTTAAAGGATCTGTGTTCAAAATTCTACAAAACTATTTAATTGACAGAAGTCAAATAACCAAAATTGGATCTACATTACCAAACTCAAAAAATATTTCTGTTGGTACACCACAAGGTAGTAAACTAGGTCCACTACTATTTACATTAATGACATTTGTAATATTTTAGACTATTGTAAAATTCAGATATTTGCAGATGAAACATTAATATAGATATCAGATAAAAATATAGATACTGCTTTAAAAATGCTAAATTCTGACTTGGCAAAAATTGTAAATTGGTTAAACGTAAATAAACTGAAATTGAATACCTCTAAAACAAAATGTATGCTAATAGGGAAATACATAAATGAAAATACATTATTTCAAAAATTGCAAAAAACAAATTACTTTTATAGGGCTTCTCATAGTCTTGGTACATATTCCAAGAAAATAGTTTATAGTACAATTATTCTAACGCATTTACTATATTGTTCAACTATCTTGATCACTGCCAATGAAGCTGCTCAAAATTACAAGTCCTGCAAAATAAAGCTATGAGAATAATATTTAATAAAAATAAGTATACCAAAATAAAATCTGTTGCAGGAATGGCAGTGTGTGAATATAAAAAATTACATATTTGGTTGTTATTTTTATATTTAAAATAAAAAATCATCTTTTAGCACAACATTTAGAACACTACATAGAATTAAATAATCATTACCATAATACAAGAGGAAATATAGGTTTTCATTTACAAAATTGCAATAGTAATTTAACTAGCAAATCAATATTTCAGAAAGTATTACTTGAATTTAATAAACTAAATAATGATATAATGTCTACTTGTAATTTAAAGATATTTAAAAGAAAATTAGACGAATATTTCACAGTGAAAATTCTTAGAGATGCAAACTTTGTGTTTTCTAAATATCTGTATGTGATGTAGTTGTTTAGTTTTTTAGAAGAATGTAATGGTAGCAGTCATGCTAAATAAATCGTAAACAAACAAAACAAATGTACGTGACGCAATTTTTTTGTTTGAAAACCATCATGTTTGACCATTGATTATAGCTTATATCAGTTTGGGCTTTGACTCCACTAACATCAATCGTAACCATCTCCACATAAGATTCCTCAAATACATGGATGTAGATGTACTCGCTCGCTCGATTTGCCACATCAAATATTGACTTTTCTTTCCAGATGGAAGTGCACTGCTTCCTACTAACCGATATGCTGTTGATCTGCAAGCCCTCCTCAGCGAAGAAAACCAGTGGCAGCGGTGCGGGTAGTGGGAGCGGCAGTGGTGGTGTGGAAGGAGGAGGGGTGATTATGAGGGTGGTTAGACAACCGTACTTGGTAGACAGATTGATGGTGATCGAACTGCCAAGAGAAACGCCCAGCCTCGCCCTAGTCTACAAGAACGAGTTCGATATGGCTGTGCAGGCGTTCATTTTGCAGAGTCAGGACGCCAGAAAAATTAAGGTAGGTGTATATAAAACTTATCTAAAATTATATACATAGAAGCTGCAAAAATTTAAATCGAATTCAGAAAAGTAATCCTTCTCGGCGAATGTGGCAGGTAATAAAGGAGCTAAACATAACCAAAAAATATAACTATATATATAATTTCAAACAGAGCCTCTAACCTTATATTGTCACTGATTCAGTCTTACACATTAAAACCAAGCAAAAAACAAATCAATTTTAGTTTTTCTAAAGTCAGTTTCTTTTAGGTGCGCGATATCATCTGTGTCCTCACTAAGAAAAAATGTCGCGACATATATGGTTTGAGCACAAGACTATTCAAGTCATGATTGTCTCTACCAAAACGCCTCCATATTTATGGAATAGAATAAAAGATAAAACTTAGACATGATGTCCCTAATTCAAATATTCACAGTGAGTTCCGTATCTCTTCCCCTCTACATCGAACTTCCTTGTTTAAGAGATCATTTACATTTAATAGTCATAGAACATATAATGCTATTCCCTTCCAACTTGAGAAGCTAATGTGAATTACAAAAAGTATCTTCTGCAAACTGAGAAATGAAATAAAATACCCATATGTTAATTAACCTTTACCAGTTAATATGGCTGAAGTAATTTAACCCGTCACTGTTTTTTTTCTGTTTTTGTCTAACCTATTCAATCTCGACCATTTATATTTTTTTCTCGAGTAACTTGGCGTATAATTCTCACAGCATAATGTTTATTATTTTTGTCTCAATTGGGTCAGCACTTGTATCAGTTTTTCTGTATGTTGGCCCTTTTCACAATTACATTTTTTGTTTAAATGAGTCACTGTAATGGCTCTTTGTAATTTTGAATATGTTTATTATTACTATCATTATTATTATTATCTTTACTTCGAACATCGAAGTGTCATCAAACTAGTTCAAACGAAACAAGGTATACTACAACTATTTAAAAATGTCGTTTCTGTGGCTTTGCGGTGGTCAACAGCACAGACAGAAATGGAAATAATGGCTGATTGTTCTCCGCCGATAGAACCAATGAAATCAAAGACGCGCCTCGACCGGCAGACTCATAGGCGTCGGCAACGCATTGGAACGTGTTTCGTTGAGCGATCGCATATTGTGTGTTTTTATAAGAATTGTAGTGTGATTGTTATTGTTGTGGTTTCTGTGGTTACTGTTTTGGTTATACTTAACCATGAAGAGTACAAATGGCACGAGTGGAAGTACTGAAAGCCAGGGAACAAGTAGACGGCTTCGTAAAGCACTGAAGGGGGACGCTAAAGAAATCGTGCTCAACGTGTTCAATTATCTGAACAGAACTATGTCGCAGGGAGATGCACTCGCGCGTTGTGAAAGTATGACAGGCGTTCCAGAGTGGACCATTCGCAGGGTGGTGCATGAAAAGAAGAAAACTGGAGCTACTACTGATCCAAAGTTTAATTTGAAGGGACGAAAGGCCGTTAAATTGGATGACGATAGCAAAATGGCGTTAGGGCGAACCGTACATTCATTCTTCTTTAGGAATGAGATACCAACCCTCAAGGCTGTACATGCATCGATCAAGGAAAATGAAATTATACCCCAAATGAGCGTCGAGGTAATATAGGAATATAGGCGACAAAGCAGAAAAATCTATTATTTGGACGAGACATGGGTCACACAGTTAAAAAAACCTGGATAGACAAAAACGTAGTGAGTAACGAACAAGCAAGCATTGAAGGTTTGTCAACAGGTCTTCGTGGACCGTCAGGGAAAGGTCAAAGATTGATCGTAACTCATATTGGTAGCGATAGTGGCTTTTTAGAAGAGTGTGACTTGATTTTCGTCTCTAAGAAAGGAGGTGATTACCATGACGAAATGAATGCCAGCTGCTTCGAGAGCTGGTTTCAAGGGGTGCTTCAGCGAGTTGAGCCCAATTCTGTGATCGTCATGGATAATGCTTCCTATCATAGTCGTCGAGCCGAACGTGTACCGACTATGGGATCTCGAAAAAGTGACATGCAGCAATGGTTGCGCGAAAAAGGAATCCCGTGTGACGATTCATGTGTGAAAGCGGAATTGTATGAAAAAATTAAACAGCACAAACCTGCGAACAGTAGTTACATGACTGATGAGATGGCCCGTCAATGTGGTGTGGTGTCACTGTGCTGCGGTTACCGCCCTACCACTGTGAACTGAACCCAATAGAGCTCATCTGGGCTCAAGTGAAGGGTTATATTGCGCGCCATAACACAACCTTCAAATTACCAGACGTTAAGGTTTTACTTGAGACTTCCATACAGCAAGTAACGCCCGAAGCTTGGCAGAATGCTATCCGCCATGTTGTGAAGGAAGAAACAAAAATGTGGCAGCTTGACCACCACATCGACACCATCATAGAGCCAGTTATAGTCAATTTCAACGAGGAAAGCGATAGCGACAGTTTATTACTGTCAGATGTAAGTGGAAGCGACGATGAATAAAGGTAATTCCCAAATTTTTGACTTACAATATGTTTCAAACCACTCTTTATTAAGCATGTGACAAATCTAGTTCACCCATATTAAACATTCATACCCCGCATATGAACAGCCGACTACTGGTAGTTAAGTGATGTTCACGTGAACATCGATGAGTCATTACAGTTTTAGATAGTTATAGTATAGTTGAGTCAAGTATACCCCATTCGTAGTTCATGTACATACAGACAAAACACAACATGCGCAAACGCGAGGTTGTACAGGTCCGTATTTTCCTCAATGGTCTGGGAATAAATGATTATTTTTATATAAAGTAGTGTACATACTTTTCACAATTCTGTATTCGCTGGAGGTACTTGGATCATCGTCCGAATGGTTACTATTAATTATTACAGGTTCAATTTGAATATCGATCATATTGTCCAGATTCCACATCTTTGTTTAGATTGTTTCGTGAACGTGATGGATGCAATCTTTCAAATGGTTTGCCGTCACTCTGTTGACAGCTTCGTAAAACAAGTTTTTTACTTCAGAAAATTTGAATGTTCTATTGTTTGAAGCCACATAGTTTTTTATATTTGTCAAAATCATTTCAATGGGATTCAATTCGCAGTGATAAGGGTAGCCTTAAAATGGTCTTATTCCGGGTTTTAGCCATTTCGTCAATATCATTAAGATTATATTTACATTTGTGCTGCCTGACTAGATGGATAAGTTTTAAAGACTTTGCGTCTGATGAAATTCCGATCAAAGTTATCGACTGTATCCGTGTAATGGAGCCTCTTGTGTGGTGGAGACAATTTTTTGTTTATATTCTTTAAAAATATTGAAAATTGTCTTAGGAAAATTTCGCTCATATAAATGTTGAGCACAATTTTTTTTTGCCTGAATATTCAAATGTGCCTTCTTGTCACGTTTTCGGTGAGGAGACGTCACTGACAAGGAAGCAAGACATTTGTGATAAATATTCTCAGTTTCATCTGCTGAATCCGTAGATGACACGCTTACGTATTGTAGTGTTTTTCTGGGTTCTTTTGGGTGTGGATTAAAACACTGGATTCCACAAAAAGAAATGCACTAATTTATTTAACTTGATAGAACATTTATATCAACCACTATTTATGTCTGGCTCATTCTTATGTCGCCATTGACTGCACTATACTCCACTCCGCTCTGCTCTGGTGTAATCTGTACTATCTGCTTCCATCTCCCGGCCGCCGAGTTATATATAGTCCCAATTGCTGCTTCGGGAAAGGGCGGGTGAACCACAAAGCGACATCTACAGTATATTCAGATAAGAGATAGACCGGATGTAAACAAAAGGTTCGGGTGATTTTCACGCTAACGCCGCCGTCTCGACGTAAAACAGGAGCCCTTATTGGTCAATTCGCAATTAAATGCCTATGCCGAGCGGCAGAGCAGTCGTATCAAGGCAGAGTCACATTCAGGTTCAGACGTGTTACGTATGTCGTGTGCATCATTGCAATTTGATATTTCTTTGGACGTTTTCGTTTGTTATCTTATTAAGTTGTTGAGTTTGTCGTTGTTATTGTTATACCTTGTTATTGATTGTTATTGTTATCAACTGCTTGCGCAAAATGCCCAGTAGTACAGATACTGCCGATGAAGTTGTTAACTCCTGTAGTCCACCTAGGAAACGCTCTAAAAAAAGACACCTGAGTGCAGAAATGAAAGAGGTCATTTTGAATATATATAAGATCGAGCGCGAGGAGAACGAGGCATCAACCATCAAAGAAATTGTTGTGAAGGTTTCTCACAAAGTTGGGGTGTGTCGCGCATCAGTGTTTAATGTGTTAAGACAATACAAAAAAAATCACACCTTTTCTGAGCCAATGACCAGTAAACATCGCAAAAGTATTGTTAAATCATTGGATGAAGCTGATAAGCATGCGATTAGGAGGAAAGTGCATGAATTCTTCTTTAGGAATGAAATACCTACTATAGATAAAGTACTGCAGGAGGTAAATGGAGATACAACGTTGCCAAATTTCAAACGATCAACTTTCCATGCGTTACTGAAGCATTTAAATTTCAAATGGAAAAAACGGGGTCGTAATAGTTTACTACTGGATAGAGAAGAAATTGTGCTATGGAGGAGGGATTATTTAACAAAAATTGGGAAATATAGAAATCAAAACAGGAAGATTTATTACCTTGATGAAACGTGGGTAAACGCAGGACACACTACAAGTAAAGTATGGGTTGATGATTCTGTAACTTCATCCAGGAGGGCCTTTCTAGATGGACTGTCCACCGGATTAAAAAATCCAGCAGGTAAATACGAGTAATAGACAACAATCGGATGTTTTTCAAACCTTGGGAACAAGGTTCTAAACATTAATTCCAGGGGGCAGATAAAACATATTACAAGTAACAAAACTTTTATAACTTTCGATAAAATGCGTGGATGTTTTATTGTCATTTTCATTTGTTAGAACTTTTTTAAGCCATCTTTTTATGTGTTTTCGATATTTCAATAATTTTTTAATATAATCTTAAAATATGTCGAATATTATAAACTTAAA